GTGTTTTGGGTAGAACTTAGGATTTTCAAATTTTGGGGATTGGGACCTCGATTTGGGGTCCGATTTCAAAACAAATTATATATTTGAGTTCGTGGATGAATGGGTAATCGAGTTTTGGTTCGAACCTCAGGTTTTGACCATGTGGGCCCGGGGTCGATTTTTGACTTTTTGGGAAAATCATTAGAAAATCTATTTTCATGCATTAGAATTGATGCATTTAGCATTTATCGATATCGTTAAGTATATTGTGGCTAGATACAAGTGAATTAGTGGTGAAAACAAGAGGTAAAGCGGTAGTTGAGTCTTGAATTGTATTCGTGGCATTGAGGTAAGTGTTTGGTCTAACCTTAGCTTGAGGGAATTGGAGTCATGGTCTTATTTGCTATGTGTTAATTGATGAGTACGACGTATAGGTGTGGTGACGAGTACCTATACGTTGGTGTCAAGCATGCCCGTGAGTCTTATACTATGAATGTCGTGACTCCGTTATGTATTATCCATGCTTAATATGATGTTATTAATGTTGAACTAGGCTTATGGAAGTATTCTTGGTAATTGGACATTGTAGAGTATTGGCTCCAGTTGAGGTTTCATTTGAGAAGTTAATTGTTGGTATAGGTTTGGTTATAGTTGATTCCCTTGCCGGGACGTATTTAATTCTTACTGTTAGTTTCCTTACCGTGATGTGATTATTCTTGTTGTTTGTTCCCTTGCCGGGATATTATTGATTCCTTATTGTTCCCCTGTCGCGATTCTTTTGTGATTAGTGTTGATTCGTATATTTGGATAGGGTTGCACACCGGAACAATAATATATGGGATCGAGTTACACGCCGCAACAAGGAGTAATAAGGGAAGACAGGAGGGATCGCGTTGCACGCCGCAACAGTGATATATGATTTGAATCGGGTTGCACACCGCAACAATGATATATGATTTGGATCGGGTTGCATGCCGCAATAGTGATATATGATTTGGATTGGGTTGCATGCCGCAACAGTGATATATGATTAGGATCGGGTTGCGCGCCGCAGAAATAAAGAATAAAAGTGGTTATAGATTCATTATTGATTCCTTATTCTGGCTGGTGTGAAATTTAAGATGTTCTTTTTGCTTTTCTCCTGAGATTCTGTTGGTACTTGATATTCCCCACAGCATGTTCCCTCTCCCCGCCTTTAATTGCTAGTTTCTGTCGTCATTATTTGTTGTATATGATATAACATCACAGGTTTATTTGGTAGTCTTGTCCTAGCCTCCTCACTACTTCGCCGAGGTTAGGCTAGACACTTACCAGCACATGGGGTCGGTTGTGCTGATACTACACTCTGCACTGTGTGCAGATCCCGGTGCTACAGCTTTGGGACCACAGTGAGGTTGCTGTTTCCAGTCCATCAGGCGACCCGAGGTAGTCTTGCAGGCATCCGCAGGCCTTGGTGTCTCCTTCTATCATTTCCTTTCTGTTTTTACTTATTCAGAGACAGATTCGTGTATTTTTATTCAGACTTTATTTGTAGTATTCATAGATTGTCCGTGACATTGTGACACCAGATTCTGGGTAGAGTTGTACTTAGACTTCCGCAGTTTGTATTAATCTAAACTATCAAATTTCGTCTTCCGCATTGTTTTTGTTATTATTATTTCCGCTGCTTTTGTTATGTTGTTTTGAAATTGTTAAGGGATTAAAAATAAAAATGGTTAAATAATTGGAATAATTGGCTTGCCTAGCTTTCACTAGTAGGCTCCATCACGACTTCCGCGGGCGGAAAATCTGGGTCGTGACAAACATAAAGTGAGTCATTTTTATTTAATATTATTTGACTAAATTGGTGATTGAGAATTATTTATGTTGGTATTTGGAAGCTTTATATTTGAGATCATTTGGAGCAAATTTGGGGTGGTTTGGTCGAAATTAAAGTTGCAAATTCGAAGACCGCTTTATTAAAATAACATAGAAAAATTATACCAATCGGATAGAATTCGATGAACAGCTTAATAAATATGTAGAATAAATATAGCATAAACTCTACCAATCCGCTAGAAAAATCCCCGAAGAGCAAAATCATGCCAACATGATTGACTTTGAGTCTTTGATGAGCAATTTACTATATAGATAGAGTAAATATAGTATAAACTATACCAATCTGATAAAGAACGCTTAAGAACAATAACTGAGTGCAGGTCAAAAAACTATTTAAATGCTGCCAATTTTGAGACATTCGGCTAAAACCAGCCCTTTACGGAGCCATTCATGTTAATCACCCTTCAAGATTTAAGACACTGTACTTGGCAAAGGCCTTCAAAATGACAAGTGTTTTTGTCCCATTATTGCATTATGTATCAAATACTGAAGTTTTCATAATTCGTTCTCTCTAAAATAGTTGTCTGGTCATATTATTTATTGACTGGTTATATCATTCAATCATGCTACAAAATGACGATACATACAATATTATGAGCTCGTTTAGCTTGAAAAAGTGAGTTTTCATCACAAATAACTTTTAAGCCAAAAAGTAATAAGTTGGGCAACCCTAACTTATTATTTTGACTTGTTTTAAGCAGTTTTTAATTTATTTTAAGCACTTTATAACTTTGTCAACACTGAAAAAAGCTTTAAAAAAACATAAAAGCTTATTTGACTAGCTTAATAGCCAATCCAAACTCCCTCATAGTTGATGTTAAAATTTCTCTTTTTTTTTCTATTGCGTTGCTTGAAATTGGTAAATTTTATTTTCAAAAATAAACTCATTCTTTATGTTTGATATATTATTTTAATATCAAAATTTGAAAAATCAAAAGGAGAAAAAGTGAAAAAAGAAAAGGATGATCAAGACAAGTCTTCTACTACTATGAAGGCATTACGTAATATAATTAAGATGAAATTCCTTAGTTATATTTTTATATGTAAGTGGGTTTTATTATTTAATGGTGGCTTCTCGATATATTGTAATTTATAAAATATATTTTTGATTTATACTGGATGATAAATTTTGATTATTCAAATCATCACGTAAACAATAAACAAATGTAGTAGATACCCAATATTATTATTTTGGTAGATATATGTTTTACGGTTTGATATATTTAATATATATTTAACTCTATGTTTTATAATTAAATTATAT